CCACAAGCCCTTGTAATATCTAAGAGTGTTTTGCCCCACCCCCACCCCAAGAGTCTATTTCCCCTTTCGAGAATGCATGTGACAGGAAGATGGTTCTGCTGATAGGAACACCACGACCCACAAAGGGAAACTCGCTTCTTAGCTTCTCTCCTGCCTGCTTGCATTCCTTGTCTCCTGAATCTCTAAGGATGAATTCAACTGTGTGTTACAGGGATCCCAATTAAACTGTCTGAGACCACAGTGGTGTTTATGGTTTACTTAAGGCATCTGGGGTGAGGTGCAGTGGCTCACTGGTGCCCTCAGAACACAGGCTCTTATCCACTCTGCTATCCTCAGGGTATCGGGTATGTCTCCACTCTTGGCCACAAGATGGCTGTAGCAGCACCAGGCATCAGAACCTCACAAAACAGCATTTGTAGGGAGAGAGAGGAAGAGACAGGACAACAGTGAAAAGGGGCAGATGACTGGTAGGCAAATAAAAGTTTCTGAGCACTCATCTTTTTTAATTTTAAATCCTTACCCGAGGACATGCTTAGAGGAATGGAGAGAGAAACATTGATGTGAGATAGAAACATAGATCAGTTGCCTTCCTTACGCACCCCAACTGTTGTACCGGGCGACACTCAACCAACTGAACCACTCCAGCGGAGCCTCTTTCTTTCTTCACTCCTTTACCTTTTGGCTTTACCTAAACTAGTATTCCCCAAGCCCACATGTGGACACAGTGCATCCACTTGGAAGGGTGCACTAGCAATAGCACTAGCGGGTTGGCCTTGAACAAGTTACTTAATATCTCTGGGCCTCAGCTTCCTCATTTATGAAGTTTGGATCATGCACTAGATGCCTGAGTATGTAAACTTATAAATAGCGCCGATGTGGAGATTCTTGAATCCATCTTTTGATGAAGATACACATGCGTTTCTGTTGTGGTCTGGGAATGAAACTGCTGGGTCATATGATATCTGAATGTTCCTCTTCTGGATGCCCTTTAAGGATCATTCCTGGTTATAGACCCACACACTTTCATGGAGCACATAGCCAGTAAATAGGTGTTTCTATCTTATCCAAAAATTCACGGTGAATAAGATTCTGTGCCGGGGCTTGTCAGCTCAGTATCTTCTCCAGCCCAGCCCCTGCTGGGTGGCCACCACAAAAGGATACGTGCACACCCCCACACTCCAGAGCCTGCTTGTGAAGAAAGCCAAGTAGCAGGTGTCCCTTGTGATGGTGGTGAATTGCATTTCTGTGGCCCGATGAGGCCCTTGTTACTAGGAGCCCACACGGCCAGCCAAAAGAAGTTTCTGGAGCTCTGGAACATATCCACTCCATCATGAGGCACGTCATAGCCGGCACTAAAAAATGAATGTCAACAGATAATTTAGTTCATCTGAGCCCCTCTGTTCTTGAAGCACCTGGTAGGCCCTCAATAAAAATAACCATAAAAGCATAGGGTAAAGTTCGCTGCAATAGCATTTTGTAAGAGAAATTTGTGTTTTAAGCACTTTTCAGGAAACAGGAAATTTCTCCAAAGTAAGTACTTAAAATACTATATACAAAAGGAGGTTTGGAATGTCAATTTCTGGTTTAGAGAAATGGGTGGAGCTCTAAGAACAGTGTCTGTCAAAGTACAGTCTATAGACCAGCATCAACATGAGCATCAGTTGTTAATAAAAGACTTAGATTTCAGCCCCACCCCAGAACCAGCATCTCTTAGGTGGGTTCTAGAAGTTGGCACGTGAACAAACTCACAGGTAGGTAGTCCTTGGGCACCAATCCCATGATCTGTGCTGCATTACCCACTGCAAAGGGTCTCCATGTTTTGAGGGGGCCAGGCACTTCAGTATAGAAAGATAAATGTCCTATCATTTACCCTCAAGCACCTCTGCTGGTTCTGGGGCAAGGTCCAATTTCTTGTTTGCAAAACTCTTCAGATCCTAGCCTCAAGTGGACCTGCTGGCTTTTGCTCTTTCCTGGGATGCCATTGGCTGAATTAAATCATCCACATAATTTTGCCTCTGTTGGCGACAGCGCCTTCTCAGTTGTCCCTCTTGTTTGAGACAGCCCTCTGTGGCTTTGTCCATGTCACTCTGAATGCTCTTTAAAAACCTCCTTTGTCCTCATCAGCCGTCCACTTCAGAAGTGCTGGTGTTATTTTGAGGCAGGGTTTGGGATACCATGTAGAATAAAGCCATGATTGTATTAAAAACCAGAAGAGGGTGAGCAGCTAACACAAACATGAATACAGCCTAAGCACATGCTGTACCAGGGGAGAGAAAGAGAATGCTCTGTTGTGGCTCTGCTTTGTTTCTGAGGTCTGGGTGCTCATGTAAAGTTCTCACAGACTTGCTAGTGAGATTTACAGAATTCCAGCTTAGCAAATTTACCAGTTTTGGGGGCCCAGGGCCCTGGCCCCTGCAAGGCACAAGCCTAAATGCCTAAGATTCCCTATGGATGAGGGAAGGCCCCAGGCTCAGTTCTTGGGTTCTGGTGGCATCTTTCCTGTGCTCCCCCCCCCCCCCCCCCCCGCACACACACATATCTAGTTTGTTCTTCCTCAGAGCTCAGCCCTCCACAAATTCCACCAAACACAATAATTTTCTGTTCTGACATAAAATTTTCAGGCCCTGGCCAAGTAGCTCAGTTGGTTGGTGTCGTCCAGATGCACCAAGGTTGTGGGGTTGATCCTGGTCAGGGCCTGAAAGAATCAACCAATGAAAGCATAAATGGGAGGAGCAACAAATCGATGTTTTTCTCTCTCCCTCTCTGTCTCTCAAAACCAATCAATAAGAAATAAAATAATATGTCATAAAAACTTCACGTTTCCTCCTTAGCACCATGTTGCTTTAAAAACCTTTAGTAAAAACATAGTCACCTACTTTGGGACACTTAACGTTATTTCACTATCAGTTTTCCACCACAAGGAACACTGCAATACAACAGGAAATGGTGAATATGAATAGGCAGTCCTGGGCTAAAAATGAATGGTGGAAACTTTTACCAAAATGTTTTCCACCGAAGTTCACTTTCTTTAGTTTTGATGACTACCCACTGGATCATTGTGGCCAGAGGCCACTGACCAACCAGGAAATTGAAAAATAAATAAATAAACTGTTTCAATTTTGAATCCAGCCTTTCAGGAACTCTGGTTTTATGTTTCTGTTTTGTTTTAGGGCTTTTTGGTGGGATGGGAGCATACAAATTGGTACTCTGACTCAAACTGAGCAAATACAGGAGTCTGGAGTGCAGCATGTTTAATTATGAAGATGTTGGGATTATCACTTCATAAGAGTAGCAGAGGACACTTGACAGAGAGGGAAAGGAAGGGAGCATCTATGCCACAACCAGTATTTTGCTAGGAATACGATTTCATTCTCACAACACTACCTTGCTCCCTGTGCTCCTCCCTTTAGGTTAGAAAACAGGTTCATTAATGATAGGCAACTTGCTCAGGGTCACCCACTTGTGGTGACCAAGTAGGACTTCCAATGTCAATCACATTGAACTCTTCCTTGGTGTCCTTGAAGAGAAAGCTGTGTGGAGTCTTAATAAAATCTCCATTAAGGTACGGCAGCCTGGTTGCTAAAATAAATACCGCCATTCAATAAGAAATCCCTATGCTATACTTCTATAGAACACTCATTTCTAGTTATATTCATGCTGTTTATTTTAACGCCAATCAGAAGAACCATGAATAGGGTCTGTCGTAGTTGTCAAGCAGCTGTTGAATATAAAAGTGTTAATCTTACCCAGTTCCAAGAGGACCAGACATTGGCATTCTATAAGGTAGACGCAGCACTTAAAATTGTTCCCAGGGCCCTCTGAGCCCTAGTCTCCCCACAAGGCAGAGACGTGCGGAGGAGACAAAAGATAACTGAGTGAGGACTAAGGCCCAGTGAATCACGCTGGGGAGAATAAGGAAGATCTTTGAAGCTCATTGAGTCTCTGAGTGATATTTTGGGTCAGTTTCAACTTTCTGCATTCTCCTCCTGCCGAAACATCACTTGTTTCTAGATTAAAGTGTGGTGTAGACCACAGTGAATCCCAGCTTCAAGATTTGTGGTGAAACGGAACAAACCTAGAGTTTGGGAACAGACAGGGAAAAAATGTGCTCTCTCACAATAAGCCACCCTACCTGTTATTGTTAGTATTGATTTGTTCTTGCCTGGACTGATAGCCTCTACTGCCTTGGCCTAAGAGCAAACGCTGCAGAGACAGGTAAGGTGGGAAAAGGAAGTGAACTTCCACCCCACGTGGCTGAAGCAATGACTGCCTATCCCCACTCGGCTCCCAAAGAAAGCTGAGAATCCAGCTCAGCCAAAGGCCTGAAAGGAAGCGCAAAAGCATGAAAAAGAGCTTAAATCTCACTGTTCTTTCAAAAAGCTTCAGTTCAGTCCTGGTGTGAGTTTAAAGTCGTATCATTGGTAGCACTCCCTCTCTTTGCTCACTGATGTTCACTCATGGGGTTTAACCTTACATAAACGCAGCTTAGCTGCAGAAGCAAGATGGCACGGGGGTCTCAGCGTGCATCTGAAGAAACCCCAGGTCATCTCCTTGAATGGTTCTCTCCTTGGAGCCTAATAATAGTCCTTTATGCCACTCCTATTATGGCTCACAATTCCTTCCATTTTGGGTTATTTTAAGGGCCAGATGATCCCGACCCAGGTGCGTGCTCCAAAGCCCCCATCTCCAAGCGTGGCTGCCCGTGGGCGCACCAGTAAACGCGGGTGGAATGGAACAGGCTCCTCCAACGTCTTTTTCCACCTCCGATTTCCGTTAAACATCTGCGCTGGGCACAGCGCGCAGCCTCCACAGGGCCGCTCTCTAGGAGGCGAGGTTGGACACTAGGAGGACCAAGGCCGAGGGCTCAGGGCGCACTTCCTGCGGGGCGGGGCTGCCGGCCTCCCGTCCTCCTCCGGTTCCCCCTGTCCCCTCCCCTCCTTCCCGGGTGGCCCAGGCGCCGCGGGGGCGGGGCGCGAGCGGGCTGGGCGGCGTGGCGGTGCTGGCCGGCCGCCAGCGGCCAAGGTGCGAGCGGACCGCGGGGCTCGGGCGCGGAGCGGGGGCGCGCGGCGCGGAGCAGCCAGCCCAGCCCAGCCCAGCCCCGCGGGCAGAGAGGTGCCGGCGGGCGGCGGCGGCGGCGGCTTCCAGCCCGGCGGGTGCAGGGCCTCTGGCAGAGCTGCAGCGGAGCGGGGCCTCGGCCGCGCGTTCCGGGCGGTGCTCGCCATGTCGGGCGGGCTCCCCAAGGCCTTGCCGTCCACGGGGCCCCACTCCCTGCGAGACATGCCGCACCCGCTGGCCGGCTCCAGCAGCGAGGAGGCCGTGGGCGGCGACAGCACGCCCAGCCCGGACCTGCTGATGGCCCGCAGCTTCGGCGACAAGGTGGGGCGCGCTTAGCTGGGGATCGGGAGGGTCGTGTCTCTCCCGTAGGGGATGATGGATCCCCAGCTCCCTTGGGCACCGGGCCGCGCCCACCCTGGCGCCCCTTCCCGGGGGGGGGGGGGGGCACGGCCGTACCCTTGCCCCCAGAGCCTTTCCTTTGGAAAAGGCGTTTCCTCTCTGCCGCCCCCGTGGGGTCGCAGCCGCGGGGGAAGCGGCCGGAGGGGACGGGCTTGCCAGGCTGTGACGGGTCTGGAGCGCTGGTGAGAGAGAGCTGGTGGGAGGGGTCCCGCCTGCGGGTTGGGGCCGAAGGCTTGCGGGCAGTGCTCGGCGCCTGTGCCCTGGGATGGGCTCCCAAGTTCCTCCTGGCGCATCCCCGAAGGCTGCGCTGCAAAGTAACTTGTAGGTCCCTCCAGTTGGCTGGAGCTGCCAAGAAGTACGAGTTAATGGTTTTCTGCAGCAGGTCTGGGCAGCGTCGGTCTCACTGCCAGTCATCTTCCCCCGTCTGTCATGTGGGGCGGGATCTTTGTTTAGGTTTGTTGTGTGCCCTGAGAAGTCACCTGACTCAGACCCCAGCGGCCGGGGGAGACTCAGCTGTGGTTTTCTGTCTGGGCTCCCTTCACCTCTGACGGCCTCCCACACTATTTAGGTTTGGCAGACACTGGTTTTGTGGTCGATGGAAAGAAGCTCGCCCTTTGACCTTCTTTGTGCAGAGAGAGGCTCCTGATTTTCTCCGAGCAGCGTAACCCTCCTGCTGCTTTGAGAGACAGCAGAGTCCGGTGGCGGGGAAGGGGCCGCATCCCCCTCCCCCATCACCAGGTCAGCTGTGACCAGAGCTTGAGCTGCAATTGTACTAGTGCTGCTGACATTCGTTACTAGTTGTAGAAATTAGAATTGTTCTCAACACTTGTGATCAGGATTTCCTCCTCCTAGTAAAATAGGAAATGAATTCCTTCTTGTTCTACTACTAAGTGAAATTAGGGAACCATTGATTCTTAAAAAAAATGTTCTTATTGATTTTTAGAGAGAGAGGAAGGGGGAGAGAGAGAGAGAGAGAGAGAGAGAGAGAGAGAGAGAGAGAGAAACATCGATGAGAGAGAAGCATCAGTTGACTGCCTCCTGCATGCCCACCCTGGGGATTGAGCCACCACCCAGGCATGTGCCCTGACTAGGAATCGAACTGGGGACATCTTGGTGCATGGGATGATGCTCAACCAACTGAGCCACACTAGCCAGGCTCCATTGATTTTTTTTTTTTAGAGAGAGTAGAAAGGGGAGGGGGCGGGGGGGGGGAGAGAGAGAGAAGACACATCAATTGGGCCAGGGATCAAACCTGCAACCTAGGCACATGCCTTTTACCAGGAATTGAACCCAAGACCTTCGGTGCATGGGCCGACCCTCTGACCACTGAGAACACTGGCCAGGGATAATTATTGAATATTTAATAAGTCTCCATAGAGCTGTAAGGAACACCAAAATGACATCATTCCCAAGGGTCTGATTTATAGTAACTCACTTTTCCTTAGAGGCTAAGCAATATAATTTGTTTCTCTGGGAGTAACCTTTTCCTTGAATCTTGGCATGTGCATATATGTTTTCATAACTCTGGAGAAATTTCTGTAGAGAGAAGCTGACAGGCATCAAAGGTGAATCAGGACCAGTGGAAGGAAGGCTTCCCTTTGCCCTGCTTTTTCTTGCCTGGGCAGCATGCAGGGCAGGTAGGAACATTGAATGCGCCGGTTTGTCTTTAAAAAGAAGCCTGTTCTGCCCTAGCCGGTTTGGCTCAGTGGGATAGAGCATTGGCCTGCGGACTGAAAGGTTCTGGGTTCCATTCTTGTCAAGGGCATGTACCTGGGTTGCAGGCTCAATCCCCGGCCCTGGTCGGGGTGCATGCAGGAGACAACCAGTGGCTGTGTCTTTCTCACATCGATCTTTCTCTCTCTCTGTCTCTCTACCTCTAAAAACTCAATGAAAAAATAATCCTTGGGTGAGGATAAATAAACAAGAAAAAAAGAAGCCTGTTTTCTTGGCTTTTGGGATGTTAGGGTTGTGATCCTAGATGTCACAGAGTCAGTTCTGGGCTTGGAGAATGAGGATTTGACAGGCTGCTTTTAGTGCGGGGGATTATTATGTTACGCGAGGGGAATTGCTTTCTGTGGGCCCAGGATGGAGCCATGCACAGGGATGCCTTGTGCCCCGGTCCAGCAAACAGTTCTGCATGGCCTCTGGGGTACTGGGAGGAGGGAAAGACCATGGCCTCTCCACCCACAAAATCTAAAATCATTCAAACCATGGAGTAATGGGGGAACCCTTTCTACCAAGAGTTGCTAAGACTAATTCTTTTAAAGCAGCTTAGCTCACCAGGCCCTCTACCACTACATCCTTCATCTCCAGCTAAAATGTAAGTAAACCACTGGTCCACAACTCTTTTTTTTACTTTCATCTGCAAACCGCTCTGGGCTGCTTCTCCCCTGCCTCAGTCTCCAACTCCCATGTGCCTTCCCAAATTTAACATCAATCCCTCTTAAGCCCCAATGGTGGTTAACATCCCTACACACATCCTCAGCCTCTTTACTGAACTCTTCCACCTCCTTCCTGCTCCCTTAGGCCACTGCTTCCCCTGAAGTCTTTGAAATGGAGGTGTCTTTTCCTCCTGTACTCCACGCACATCAAGTTCAGGAGATAAAAGTTAGTTTCCTTTCTCTCCACCAACCAAATTCTGCTCCTTGGAGGGTCGTGCCTTTTTGTTTGTTCAGTCAGCAAATATTTGAAGGCCTGCTAGGAGTCAGGCACTGTTCTGGGAACTTGAGATGAATCAACCAGTTGAAGACTCTCGCCCTCATTGGGTACATTTACTGTATTATGTAATAAATGCTATGGAAGGAAGAAGCAGTAAGGCAGGGAGGGGAGTGTTCAGGATCACTGGCTGTGAGGGTGGGATACGGGTAGGCCTTATTGAGAACTTGAGATTGGAGCAGAGAGGAGAAGGAAGTGAGGCAGTTTGTGAGTGGATATCTGGAGGGGTGTCCAGGTGGGAGGAACAGCCAAAGCAGGGGCCTGACGGCACATTTTCGGGGTGTCAGGGACTAGCCCAGAGGCCAGTGTGGCTAGGGCAGAGTGAGCAATGGAAAGTCATAGGTTGAGGGTGTGGTGCGATGGGGGCAGACTGTGTAGGGCCTGGTAGGCCACCTCGAGAACTTTAGCCTTTACTTTGAGAGTCATTGCAGGGTCTTGAGCAGAAGGAGGGCATGGTTTGGCTTATGTGTTGAAAAGGGTCACACAGGCTGTTGAATTGAGAATCCTTTGTTTGACTATACTACTGGGTTAGGTTTCTTTTTAGTTAAAAGGTCATAAACCAAAGGCAAATTGGCTTGTGTTGTTGAAGAGCCCCAGATATCTGGCTTCAGGGATGGCTGGAACTAGATATTCAAATGATGTCGGGAATCTGCCACCTTCCTCTTGTCTCTGCGTTCTTCTGTGTTAGCTTTATTCTCAGGCTAGGGAAGGGATATGTTGTACAAACAAGCTGCACAACTACAGCAGAAAGAGAGTACCTCTTTCCTGAGAGTTCCAGCAAAAGTTCGGGCTGGTGTCTCATGGACCTAAATTGGGTCAGGCGCTGAAGACAATCTTTGTAACTTGGGTGGCTCAGACCTGACACTGGCCCTTATCTTTAGAGTGTGGAGAAAGGAAGTTTTAATATGTGTGTTTGAATTGTGAAATATATATCCAAAGTATATAAAATGCATCTCTTTAATCTAAAGAATAAAATCCTATATAATAAAGATCTAATATGCAAATGGTCATCATGCCATCACGCCGTAATGACTCAGACACTCAACACTGGGGACCAGCCAGACACAATTGAGCTTTCGAGAGAGGAATGGGGACCAGCCAGGCACAAATGAGCTTGCAAGAGAGGAATGGGGACCAGCCAGGCTGTGGCCCAGGAGAGGGACAAGCTGCCAGGCGCCAGCGCCTGTGGCCCGGGAGCAGGACAAGCTGCCCACCCCACAGTCCTGGGCACTAGCGCCTGTGGCTGCGGCCGAGGAGAAGGACAAGCTGCCTGCCCCGCGGTCCTGGGTGCCCGCAGCTGCAGCCCAGGTGAAGCCGCTGCCCACGGTCCCCTGCGGCTGTGGCCAGCCCAGGCGAAGCCAGCCCAGGTCTTGGGTGCCTGCGGATGGCCAGAGGGAGGGAATCCTGGGTCCTGGGTATGGGGTGAAGCAGAAGCGGTTAGGGGCGATCAGGCCAGCAGGGGAGAAGTTAGGGGCGATCAGGCCAATAGGGGAGCAGTTAAGGGCAATCAGGCAGGCAGGCAGAGGGGTTAGGGGCGATCAGGCAGGCAGGCAGGCAGGCGAGCGGTTAGGAGCCAGAGTTCCCGGATTGCGAGAGGCAGTCGGACGTCCCCCGAGGGTTCCTGGATTGGAAAGGGTGCAGGCCGGGGACCCGCCCCCCATGTATGAATTTCGTGCACCGGGCCTCTAGTGTATCTATATGGTTTAAAAAATAATAACATGGCCCTAACCGGTTTGGCTCAGTGGATAGAACGCTGGGCTGCAGACTGAAGGGTCCCAGGTTCGATTTCGGTCAAGGGCATGTACCTTGGCTGCGGGCACATCCCCAGTAGGGGGTGTGCAGGAGGCAGCCGATCGATGTTTCTCTCTCATCAATGTTTCTAACTCTCTATCCCTCTCCCTTCCTCTCTGTAAAAAATCAATAAAATTTATTTAAAAAATAATAATAACATGAACACTCATGTTCCTATCCTCCAGGTTAAACTATAGAATATTACGAATATTTTGGAAGTCCTCTCGGTGCCTGAGGAGGAAAGAGGTGGCCTCAAAAGCAAAGTGAAGATGCTTTTATTAGAAATAGGACCGATGGATATTGGACAAGCAGAAACAACAAATGTCCATTGCAGACCTTCCACTACCTTTTTCTTCCCACTCCTATTCGTTAAAATCTTTAGACCCCTCTCTCTTCAACTCACTGTCGTCTCAAAT